CATAGCAAAGAACCCAATCCATCATGATAAGACAGATCATGTGGAAATTGACCGACACTTCATTAAAGAAAAAATTGATAATGGTATTGTAAGTGTTGACCATGTTCCATCATGCAGACAAACAACAGATATCCTGACAAAGACTCTTCCAATGAACATATATGAAAACATCGTATCCAATCTGGGTATGATAGACATTTACCACCCAGATTGAGTGGGAGTGTTAGAGATCAATATTATCAATTAGAATAATTCAATTATGATAGGATTTATTGATAATATAATCTATTTTATTTCATTATTTATGCACAATTATGTACAATATTTATAGAGAGAATATTTCCCCGATTTTCAAAGATAAATTAGTATATAGGTTTATTACCTTGTATTCTATTTATACCTCCTTTATATCTTTTCCAAAATAAGAAATGCACGACATATTTTCTGCATTTATCCAAGGAGTTGATCCAATTTTTCTGGTCCTTGTCTTTATTTTTTGTAGTTTCATTTCATCTCTTCCTCCCTGTACAATCATTGAAAATAAACTTTCACATCTAGATAGACAATTATCTTAATATCCAGCAAAAATTTTCTTTAAGTTTGCTTACTTTATTATTTAAAGTTTTGCACCTTATCTTAAAAATTGTGCATCTTACTCTATTATATATGAGATGGTCTTGATCATTAATTTTTTTGTACGTAAATTTTAATATTTACTTAGAAAATATACTGATGAAACTTAAAAAAAGGGTTAACAATAAATTAATTAAACCGATCATTTAAAATTTATCTGCATATAATAAAGGAAAATAGAATAACCAAATGAGAAAAACTATTTAAATAAAATATCTATTAATTTAATAATAATATATAATTATTATTTGTTATTTTTTTTATCTTTTTATTGTTTTTTTCATATTATTTTAAATTAAAATATTACATTTAATAAAAAAATATTAAAATAAAATTTATAAAATTATCATTAAAATTAAAATAATATTAATTATTTAAAATTACACTAATAATAAATAACTAGTGTAAAGATCTTTTATTATAATAAACCAATTACTTATTAAATTGAAAAAATATTAAATATTTATTAGTTAACCATCGTCAGTGACTTTTGAGGCGTCTAATGCGAATTTGACGGGTAGTGTCATGATTCGTGTTATTTGAATATAGCGAAATGAAATTATCTTGATTATTAATTATTTTGTATGTAAAATTTAATATTTATGTATAAAATACAATGATGAAACTTAGAAAGAGAGTTAACAATAAATTAATTAAATCGATTATTTAAAATTTATGCGCATATAATAAAAAAAATAGAATAACCAAAATAGAAAAGCTATTCAAATAAAACATCTATTAATTTAATAATAATATATAATTATTATTTGTTATTTTTATTTATCTTTTTATTGTTTTTTTTTCATATTGTTTTTAATTAAAATATTATATTTAAATTTAATAAAAATATATTAAAATATAATTTACAAATAATCACCAAAATTAAAATAATGTTAATTATTCAAAATTACATTAATAATAAATAATTAGCTTAAAGATATTTTATTATAATAAACCAATTACTTATTAAATTAAAAAAATATTAAATATTTATTAGTTAACCATCGCAAGCGACTTTTGAGATGTCTAGTGCGATTTTAAAGTTAATGTTGGGAGAATATAATTCGTGTTATTTAAATAAAGCGAAATGAGATGACTTGATTATTATTTTTTATATATATAAAGTTTAATATTTACCTAGAAAAAGTAGTATAATGATAAAATTTAGAAAGAAGGTTAATGATAAATTAATTAAATAAATTATTTAAAATTTATGCGCATATAATAAGGAAAAATAGAATAACAAGCTATTAAATAAATTATCTACTAATTTAATAATAATATATAATTATTTTTTGTTATTTTTTATTTATCTTTTTATTGTTTTTTATATTAATTTTTATTAAAATATTAAATTTAAATTTAATATATTAAAATAAAATTTATAAAATTATCATTATAATTAAAATAATAATTATTTAAAATTACATTAATAATAAATAATTAGTTTAAAGATGTTTTATTATAATAAACCAAATACTTATTAAATTAAAAAATATGAAATATTTATTAGTTAAATTTATTTTTTATTTAATAATTTAATTATAATTAAATTACTATTAATAAGATTAAGTAAATTATATATAATATATATATATATATATATATATATATTAAAAAAATTAAAATAAATATTAATTTTTTGTCTTTAATAATTATAACATTATAATTTTTTTAACCGTTTTTTTTATAGGAGAAAGAAATAATTTAAATAAGAAATAATTATTATCCTTTTTATATTTAAAAATAGTAAAAGAATGAAAAAGAGAAAAAAATATATTTAAAGAGTGAAAAAAATAAAAGAATATTGAAAAAAAGTTATAATGGAAGTTTTAGGATTTATGGTTTAATATTTTATTGTATGTGTTTCTATTGGTATAATATTAATTTATAACAAAAATAAAATAGAAAAAAAGTAAAATAAAAAAATGATGGGAAAATATATTATTTATTCTAGAAAAATAATTAACAAACATTAAATTCATCTTTAGAAGAAATATATTTATAAAAAATATAATAGAAGAAGTTAAGATGAATTAAGAAAGATAAAAACAATAAAAAATAATATGTTTTATCTATATATTAAAATGGAATACGTCACACAACATAAAAGTTGGTTAAATATTTTTTTAGTTTCATTTAATTGTTATATTTATATTATTAACATCTTTAAAGAATAAATAAATAACTAATTATTTTTAATTTTAAAGCTATTTAAAAAAAATAACATATACTACATACTAACATGTTTTGTTAGATGACCGACTTAAGCTTTTTCATCGGTATCGTATCAACTAGTTAAATATGTATCACTGCACTTTTTGTCAAACATCTTAATAAATTTGAAAAAAAAATCAGATTAATTTATTTTAAAAAAATAAAATAACAATAAAAATATAATTAAAAAAAATTGTTTAATAAGTTTTTGATCTTAAAAAAATTAATATATTTTAAAACTTATTCAACGTATTTATTCTCTAATGGAATGATTTGAATTAAAAAATATAAATCAAATCAAATGAATTTTTTATTTAAATATAATTAATATAAATATATAAAAATATATTTTTAAAAATAAAATATATAGAACTTCTAATATATTTTTATTGATTAATATACTGTAACCAAGATATAATATGATTTATTTGATAATATTTTATTATAAAATATTTAACATTTTTCAAAAAATATATTTTCAATAATTTTAATAATTTTACAATAAAAATTGTTTCAAATCCTTATAAGGATGATTCTATTTTTGGACTCTACTTAAATGATTTTCACCACTGTCATACTGAAAATAACAACTCAATGATATTCTTGCCATTCAATAATAGAAAAGATTTACTGAAAATACTCTTAACCTGAATAAACGTCTGTTTAATTTAACTTAGACTTCATATTAAATTAAATCAAGATGATTTTATTTAGTTTTTATGTTAATAAATATTCTGTTCTAAATTTTTGACGTAGTTATTAATTTTAACGAGGTCACATGTGATGTAAGAGACATGCATTTTATTTAATGTTTTATCTATATAAGTATTCTTTTAATCGTTTTAATTGTTAGTTATTAATTGATAATTTTATCACTTATTTGATAAACATAACTTAACTATTTAATAAAAAATATATTAATAAAATATAATTTTGTATTTTTTTATATAATTGTAAAAATTAAATATAATATTATTTGATTAGATAATTTGGTAATATATAGATAATATTTATTGTTATACAATAAACAAATTATTTTAAATAAAAATAATATTATATAGGTTTATATATATATATATATATATATATATATATATATATACTTAGTATTAATATTAAATTTCAATAAATGCAATACAAAAAAGGCAGATTCACAAATGCTACCACATTTACTTCAACTAGTAAGAAATAAAAGAGAAACTAAAATGAATATTATACCATATGGTATAGGGCACGAAGATAATACAATATGCATGATCAATTTATATATTACTTAAAATATATTTTAATGTAATTTAAAATTATTAAATGTTTATATATTTTTTAATTTATTTTAAAAGATATTGAAGAACTAAGAATATTTTATATTTTTATTAAAATTTATCTGTTTTTAATTGATGTTATGCTATTAAAATTCAACATAAAAATGACATGAATTAATTTATTTTTTTGACATTTTAAAGAGAAGAGATATTTTCAGTTCAATATTTTTATTTGTTTTTGTCATTATTAAGATCGATTTATTTAAAATAAAATAAATTTTAAAAATAAATTTTATTTTACAAATAAACTTTTTTTTTCAGAAATGATTACTTTTTAATAAATCTAAACAGTTAAATAAATTACGAAATTTTTTTAAGCTTAAATAAAATCAAACGAAAAAAAAAAATTTAATAAACAACTCTATTTTTTTTATAGCTACATGGTTTTTTCACACAAAAAATATATATATATATATATATATATATATATATATATATAATATTTGACTGTTAATAATTAATAAAATATTCTAAAAAAAGTTCTTAATATTTATTTTGTATTTAATTAAATCCTTATATATAATTATTAATAAACAACATATTTTATATATAATATATATAAAATCAAGTTATATTTTAATAATAACATACACAAAATAAATCATATTTTAATAATAATATAGAGATTAAAATATAAAATTTATTTTTAAAATTATATTTTAATTAATTGAAATTGTACAACTATCTTCATAATATATATATATATATATATATATATATATATATATTTTTTTTTTTTTTTTTAAGTTCTTACTTTTATTTCTAAGGAAAAAGAAAATTGCGCCAAACATATGATAGGGAGGAGAAAATGGAAAACGTCTTATCCAAATGAAGCTTTCTGACTCTGTAGTCACTCGACTTCACCAACACCCACCAACCCAGAGGATGTTCCTTGTTCCCTCTCCGTCCTCCTCCTCCTCCTCCTCTTGCACCTGCTTACTAAAACACCACCACAATGCTGTCTGGTTCCGCGGTCCCACTCATGGACGAGTCCCTTACACCGGCCGTGACACATGCCGCATCTGGTGTGCAAAAAGAACCGGTAAACAGAGGTACCCATCGGAGAAGAAGAAGCTGAGGACAAAGCACAAAGAGCTCTTATCTGATTCGAAAGAGAAGAACAAGTTTGAGGGTACATGGCGACTCTTCAAGCTCGCCGTTCCACTCGATCAAGACCCTGGCAAGGACTCTCTCCATGTTTCCGATGCTCTTCTCCAACAAATCGCCAAAGTTCTCAAGTTCCCGGTATTCAAGCAAATCCACCATTCCTCATAAGCAAAATCAATAAATAAATATTCTTTAATTTTCAATTCCTTCTCTCTTTCTCAGGTTGCTTCTCTGTTGCCACCACAAGCTTTCACCGTCGTTAGGAAGTCCTTTGATGCTAGGAAGGTATGTAATAATGTTCAGCTCTTCAATGACAAACTAAAATTCACTCTGCAATATGTTTATGCATTTCATTCCTTGTTACTTGGGGAGTTCCTCTCTAAATTTTTAAGAATAAATGAAAGGGAGAGAAAAAAATGGAGGTTAAATAGAAAATGGAGGCCTGCAGATGTGGCTGATATGACCTTAATCGTGGTTGCAATGCAGTTGTAGAGACCTCCAAACTTCGAAGCCTTAATCTTCTTGGCAATTGCAGTTGTAGATGGAATTTGACCTTACTAGTAATAATAATAGCTTGAGTTATGAAATATTTGACTGTAGTAATTAATGTTTGGCATGCTTTTGTGCAATTGTTAATTCTTTTGTCACGGATTAGTTACTAAGTTAATTAGTTTATATTTCAGTTCTTTTGTTTTGAGTTGTGTGTGTCAAACAATAAACAAAATGCACAACATAAACCTGAGGAGATAAAATAGATACATGTGTACAATTTTTGAAGCAGTTCATTTCATTTGCATCCTCTTATTTTGTTTTGCTGATTATTTTTTAGAAATTAAAAGAGCCCAAATTTGTGCATACTGTGGATATGGATGTCCAAAACCTCATCAGTCTGGAGCCTCGTTGTTGGGACTTTATTTCACGGCTGGAGCCTAAAGTTGGCCTTGTGGAACGTGTGCATGATGAAAGAGATTTTTCTGATCTAAGAAGTATCATTCGTGACTGTAAAGAAAATAAAGAAGCTGTTTTGACTGGGGGAAATGGACGTAGCAATTTCTCGAAGGAGTTGTACAAGAACCAGGCTACTAGAAAGCCAAAAATTGCTGTAGTGGGTAGTGGGCCTTCTGGCCTATTTGCATCTCTTGTTCTTGCTGAATTAGGTGCAGATGTTACACTGATAGAAAGAGGTCAACCAGTAGAGAAAAGAGGGCGTGATATTGGTGCTCTTGTAGTTCGTCGAATTTTAGAGTTGGAAAGTAACTTCTGCTTTGGGGAGGTTGTACTATGCATCTTGATTTATTTCTTTAAATGATGGTTTATTATCTCACTATGTTAAAATGTTACATTCATGATTACATCATTCATCACTTTTGACTTAAAACGAGTTTGTTTTACAAGGTCCATTCAACTCTAATTTTAGAATTTTATTTTAACTTGTCAGTTTCTGACAAATATGCCATTTTTTTTTTCAAAACGCATGGAAATATTCTTTTGTTCCATTTGTGCACCTTTGTTGCTATTTACGACAGTTTGAGTTTTCTTCAGAATCTCCACAACAGACAACAGTCAAGGAGATTATTATGACGTGTTGTTTGAGTTAATGGAAATAGTGTGCACCTTTTTAATGCTCATCTAGGCTGCAAAATTTATTCATTGCTAAGGTTTTCCGAAATGCGTATGAAAATCATAATTGAGTTTTGCTCAGCACCTTTGTGATTCTTGTGTTTCTTTTTATTTAAGTCTACTTATTTATTTACTTTGTCATTTATTAAGGACTTATGTGTGGCAGGGTGGTGCAGGTACCTGGAGTGATGGAAAGTTGGTGACCAGAATTGGACGCAACAGTGGCAGTGTTCTTGCAGTTAGTCTCCTGTGTAGTATTTATAAAGTTGATGTGTGCATCTTGTGTATGTGTTAAATTTATTGACTTTGCATGTAGACTTATTAGGAAAACATTTCCAACTGATAAATGGTTTACTTATACCCAATTTTGATGTTAAAATCAGATACTTTCATAATTTGTGATGATTATAAATGCATTCTGTTTGTTACCTTTGTCTGTAGTCCTTACTTGGACTAAGCTCCAAGAGAGCTTTCATTGCAAGGTATGACGGATTGTTGATAAACCAGAGAGAGAAAAACTAAAAGATATTATATTATTGAAACTGAATTTTTTTACCCAAGAGTTAGCTAAAGAAACTAACCACCCCTTTCTCCCTCTTCCCCCGCCCCCCCAAACTCAAGGTGGCTGAGATAAAGATGGAAGCTCAATCACTTTGAGCTTGTTCCTAAGAAACAAGAACCGAATAGTGGAGAAGGGTTTGATAAGAACATCAGTCCATTGATCTTGAGCAAGAATCTGCGGAATAAGAAGTTACTGTCATGAACCTTTAATAGGACAAAGAACAAATTGATATCCATATGTTATGTAGAACTATGAGCAAGGGAAACAGTAATTTGGTTGTCAAAGTAAGTAAAAATGGAGTTGAAAAAGGAACTTGTAGTTATGTTAGAAGTGTTTGCTCCAAAAGAACTTCAGGCATAACATGAGCAAGAGTCATATTCTGTATTTCAGTAGTGGACCTTGCTACAACAGGTTGTTTTCAGGACCAGCAGGAACTAAGATTTAATCCAAAAATGATGGCAGCTCATGAGGTACAAGGGTCAACAACCCAGTCAATATCACAAAAGGCTTGAAAGAAATAAGCAGCAACTGAAGAAGGTTGAATATGAAGCCCATGATAGAGGTTACCTTTGAGGTACTTAAGAATTCTCTTAACAGCGGCTCAATGAGACTCAAGAGGCTTAGCCATGAATTGACTCACTTTGTTCACAACAGAGCTGATTTCAGGTCAGGTAATTGTTGCATACTGAAGTGCTCAAACCACTAATCTGCACTAAGGTTGAGTGAGGTAGAAGATCAGCTCTATTTTTGGAGAGTTTACTGGTAGAAATTATAGAAGAGGATTTGGCTTTTTGCTTCAAGCATATTTGTCTTTTTCCATAGTGCTTTAATATAATTGCTTTGAGTAAGTAAAACTGATCAAATAAGAAGGTGCCTGCCTAACTTTATTGCCCAAAAAATAATCAAGTTGTCCTAACAGTTTGAGAGAATGTATGACTGAGCTGAGTTATAATCTTCTAAATAAGAAGAGGAGAGCTGCCGGTAATATAATATTATTGACGTCAATCAGTGGATAAACAACACCAGAGTTCACATGATATACAAACCAAGAAGAACCACACTTGTTAGCTGTGAAGCCAAACTGTAGAAGTGTGTTTTGTAACTTGTCAAACTACTTCCTTGAAGCTTGTTTAAGGCCATAGAGAGCCTTATTTAACTTGCAAACGAGTGAGGAATCAGCAGCCTCAAATCTTGGAGGTTGCTGCATTATATAGAAAGTCTCTTAAAGAAGTCCATTTAAAGGCATTGTTAATATCAAGTTGATGCAAAGACCAAATTACTTAGAGCAAGGGTGATAGTTAATTTGATAGTAACAGTTTGATAACTGGTGAGAAGGTTTTAGTAACCCTGGAAGTTGATGAAAATCATTAGCCATTAATCTGGCTTTATATTTGTTGATATTCCTTAATACAAAAATCCACTTGCAGCCTTTACAAACTTTTACAATTTTATATCATGTGTTAGAATAATTATTAAATCCATGTGTAATCATTAAGTTAGAAGTAGGGGTAGCATGTTGGAAACACCTACCAGCTGTCCTATTGTTATAACTAGTTTTGTACCTAGGTGTCTATGCTCTCTTGTATCAGATTTTTCATTATAAATAGAAGATGATTAAGAGGGGTGATTAAGCCCTCCAAACTATATTTTCCTGTTTCTTAACATTAAGTTGGTATCAGAGCAGGTTGATCCCGCTCTGCTTGTCTCAGTCATCTCTGGAGCCACCGTCCGCTGTCCGCCGTCACAGTTTTGTCCGGTGACCACTGGATCTGAATCGCCTCTCCGAGAGACAACCACCCTTACCGGTCTCGGAAGCTAGTTTCGATCCACGTGCCGTCACGCGCATAGTCAAAATCGGCGCATTCAGGCGCGTGTCACCCATGTGCCACCTTCTCTGCGTCTGAATGTTGTGACGCCACCTCCGTGTGTATCGCCGGAGCCTTCTCTTCCTGTTCTGACCCTCAAAACTCTTTTTGGCGAAGTCCAAAAGCCAACCTAGCGAATGTCACCTTAGGAGTCTCTCGGCCCTAGTTGTTTTCTGGATCTCTATCAACAGAAATGACTACCAGAGCTGTTGTTTCATTATCTAGAAGTCCTTCCATTACTTCCAAGAAATTAAATGGAAAAATTACCTTTCGTGGGCTGCATCTGTAGAAATATGGTTTCTTGGCCAAGGTCATCATGACCACCTTGAGAAAGATGGAAGCCATGCCCCCCCTGAAAAGGCTGATCAGTGGAAGCAAGTTGATTTCCAGTTGTGTGCCCTGTTATGGCAAACTGTGGAACCAAGGGTTTTGATTTCTCTTAGAGCCTTCAAAACTTGCCACCTGTTTTGGAAGAAAGCTCAAGACATTTATGCAAATGATATTCAACGCCTCTATGATTCTGCCAACAGACTTGCATCGTTCAAACAAACTGACCATGATATGGTATCCTTCATGATTGAAGAGCAACTTACAAATCATACCAGATGGTATCCTTTCTACATGGTGACCTTGCAGAGGAAGTATACATGGAGCAACCTCTTGTGTTTGTTGCTTAGGGGGAGTCTAGTAAGGTTTGTAAGTTGTGCCGCTCTCTCTATGGCCTCAAACAATCCCCACGTGCTTGGTTTGGTAAATTCAACTCAGTTGTTCAAAAGTTTGAGCTAAAACGCAATGAAGCAGATCATTTAGTTTTTTATTGCAATACCCATCTTAAGAAATGTATTTACCTGATAGTCTATGTTGATGATATAGTCATTACAGGAAATGATGTGGCTGAAATATCTCAATTGAAGGAGTACTTGTGCAAACATTTTCAAACCAAGGATCTTGGGTGTCTTAAATATTTTTTTGGCATTGAGGTAGTTTAGTCAAAAGATGGGGTTGTTATCTCTTAGAGGAAGTACGCTCTCAATATCTTACAAGAAACAGGTATGCTCGACTGTAGGCCAATAGATAGTCCTATAGATCAAAATCAAAAACTCATGACGGAAAAAGGTGAATCATTCCCTGATCCAAAAAGATATAGGCGGCTAGTTGGAAAGCTAGTTTATCTTACTATTACGAGGCCTGATCTATTTTTTGCAGTAGGAGTGATAGTCAGTTCATGCAGACCCCATGTATTGGCCATTGGAATGCCATCATTCGTATTTTAAGATACCTCAAAAAGGCACCAAGACAAGGTTTGCTATTTGAAGATAAAGGAAGTGTCCAAGTCTCTAGATACTGTGATACTGATTGGGCAGACTCCCTAACTGATAGACGCTCTACTACGGGATATTGTGTTTTCATTGGAGGAAATATTATCTCATGGAAAAGTAAGAAGCAAAATGTAGTGGGCTGATCAATTGCTGAAGCTGAATATAGAGCAATGACGTCTCTTACTTGTGAACTTATATGGGTAAAACAATTCCTTTGAGAGCTTAATTTTTGTGAAGTCCAGACCATGAAAATGTATTGTGATAACCAAGCTGCTCTCCACATCGCGTCAAATCCAGTATTTCATGAAAGAACCAAACACATAGAAATTGACTGCCATTTTGTTCGGGAAAAATTATTGTCCAAAGAAATTTGTACTGAGTTTGTTCGATCAAATGACCAACTTGTAGATATGTTGACCAAGTCCTTAAGAGGACCTTGGATTGAGTTCATTTGCTCCAAGCTTGGTACGTACAATTTGTATGCTCCAGCTTGAGGGAGAGTGGTAGAATAGTTATTAAATCTATGTGTAATCATTAAGTTAGAAGTAGGGGGTAGTGTGTTGGAAACACTTACCAGTTGTCCTGTTGTTGGACCTAGTTTTGTACCTAGGTGTCTATGTTCTCTTGTATCAGATTTTTTATTATAAATAGAAGATGATTAAGAGAGGTGATTAAGCCCTCCAAACTATATTTTCCTGTTTCTTAACGGTAAGTTCATGCAACTGCTAATTAGTTTTATATATATATATAACTGCTAATTAGTTTTATATATATATATATATATATATATATATATCACAGAAAATTACTTATCTTATCGAAACTGTCTGATATGGTAGCAGTTATTGATGGAAAATAACTGATGGTAGTTATATATTAGGATTATATCCTATAGTAGGGTGTTTGATGAGGCAATTATTTGGTTATCTGTAGTGTGTGAATAGAGAATACTCTCAAGTTTCTATAGGAGACTTTTTTTTTTTTTTTTTTCTGTGGGACAAGTGTATTGTATGTCATTTCTGTGTTCAATATAGTTGAAGACATAGTTTTATGAATTGCTTGAGTGAAAAAGAACTGAACACTATATATTTATATACATTTCAGAATTTTTTTTTTAATTTTTAAAGAGTAAATAAGATGCAATTCCTTAAGTAAATAATATAATCTATTCATGAATCTTCTAAACATTTATTAAGTAAGCATTATTCATGAATCTTCTGAACATTCATGAAAGACTGTTTCCAATGGATATGTTTTATAGGCTTATAAATTGTCCTATCAATGCCTAACGTATATATCATACTGAATGGTTGACTTCATATCTTCTTTTTAAGGTTATGAAAACTCTAGTACAGTTTGGAGCTCCAGAACAAATATTGATGGATGGAAAGCCTCACTTAGGAACAGATAGGTTGGTTCCATTGCTTCGCAACTTTAGGCAACATCTGCAAGATTTGGGTGTGAGTTCCAATAACTTCCTTGTACTATTGAAAATAAATTCATGTCGTTATATTTTTTCTCGCAGTTGTCTTCATTTTGTCCGATGAACAATACTGCTTATTTTTCTAGGTCACCATAAAATTTGGGACAAGAGTAGATGATTTAGTTATAGAAGATGGACATGTTCTGGGGGTTATGGTATCTGAATCAGCTGATAAATTACGTTTAACGAGTAAGAAGATGGAATATGATGCAGTTATTCTGGCTGTTGGTCATTCTGCTCGTGATATATATGAAGTGCTTCATGCTCACAATGTGGAATTAATACCAAAAGATTTTGCAGTGAGTTTATATTAACATTCTATTTTAATCTTTATTTCAATTTATTCAAGTTAGTATGCTTATTTGTTCATAATTATCTGTTTGCATATCCACATGTAAGATTTGTGTATTCCTAAACAGATGCAACTTCCATATGGTAGTGCTGTGGCTTCTTCATTACTGGCATGCATTGTTTACAATTTAGGCTTGATTCATGTGGATTCATTTTAATTAGATAGTTGGTTCAGTTTTTGTTTGATATTCATCATTTGACATAAAGAATTATCAGTTATTCTTTTCTTTTCCATATGTCTCTTACATTTGAAAGAGCCAGTTTTGACACTTGAAAGGATTGAAAATCGCAGCTGACTTTGCAGCATTGGAGCTTATTAATCATTATAATATTTTGGAGCATTCTGAACATTATCAAATTAATGAATGATTATGATATGTTTGGTATAGTTTTTAAAAGAAGGAAAAGGTAAGGTAGTTAGTACAGCTGTATCTGAACTATTTTAAATAGTTCTAGGATAGTTGGGAGGAGGGACTTTTTTAGAAAAGAGATCTAGAAGGATAGTTGGAGAGTGAGGTTCTCTCGAATAACCTTTGATTGTATTGTGTACTGCAGTTCTTTTTCTTTTCCTTGATATATCCCTGCTTCATTGGTATGGGAATTGGAACTAAGGAGATTAGTAAAATTCAAGATTGTATCTTTTCTTCTTATTCCAATATCAGTTCTACCAGATTAATCCTTGACTGGGTAGCAGAATGGCCCACATTATGTTGCCTTATGACAGGCCTATCTTCTGCATGGCCATTTCTGATGAACAAATGGTTTTGTTTTATTGCAGTGAATTATATTTATTTATTCAACATTAATTTTGCAGTGACATAATCAATTTTCTTTTGATGGGGGTGGGATATTTAGCACAACCGTACAGATGCCGATAGATACCAAGGAACCTTCTTTATGGAACTGAAACTCTAAATTCAGTGAGTAGAAACTAACATAGATCCTTAAGGCAGACCTAGTTCTCAAAGAAAATCCTTGTTTGACCAATTTATATTTCTAAAGTTATAGCATCATGCTCCCTTTTCTGGTCATGTGTAATTTTGTTTCAGTTGAATAAAAATGATCACATAATGTGAAGTTTGCTTAGACGTTCAATTTGTCATGATTCTTATTTTTATTGCTTTTGGCATTCATTGCAGGTAGGGCTACGGATTGAGCATCCTCAAGAGCTAATAAACAGCATACAGGTTTTTACCTAGTCGAATAGTTTCAACATCCTTGTTTTGTATTGCTTTATTCCTATGAGAAGTATTCCATATTGCTCATGTAATACAACGATGGTAATCATGACAGTATTGTCAGTGATCTATAATATATTAACTATTTAATGGGGGAAAAGAGAGGTAATCATGATAACTTCATACAGAAATGCGATATAGTAATTAACTTGTTCTGTACTGATAGTAGCTTTTTGTTTGTAATAAAAGCAATTTATCTATTTTTCAAGATTATAATGCATGCAAATTTATCCATTTAAACGTGTAGTATGCTGAATTGGCTTCCGAGGTGTGCCATGGACGTGGCAAAATTCCAGTGGCGGATTACAAAGTTGCCAATTATATTGACAAGGAGGATTTCAACGAAGTATGTAATTCAGGGGTGGCAAATCGTAGTTGCTACTCTTTCTGCATGTGTCCAGGTGGGCAGGTAGGCTCTCATTTTACATGCATATATTGTATCACATGATAGAACTCTTGACAGAAATAGCAAAAAAAAGTCAATCTTATTGAATAATAGGAACTATCTCCCCATGAGAACAAAACACCCTCATATTTTGAGAGTCTGGTCCACTCAAAACTTTTAAGTTCTGAAAAGTCCCATAACAATTTCATGTTATTCCCCTTATAAAAAAATGGTTTATCGTTTATAATAGCTAGCACATCTTCTGGTTGGGGTTGTAACTCTCCCATTCTTTGGTTAGAACTAGTGGGGTTGTCACTGGTGTTGTTGCAGTGCTCTTTAGTAGCATACATGAAAAACAAGATGGATATGAGCATGGCTGGTAACTTAGCTTGTATGCAACCAAACCAAGTCTTGGGGATCTTGTGGGGACAGTTAGTAACACAGAAACTTCTCATTTCTCTTTCTTGCTAAGATCTCAAGTAGTAAGTTGGAACTTTCAGATACACCCAGTCACCCACACTGAATTTACTTCACTTCTTTTCTTGTCTGGTTAACACTTTGTCCTTTGTTGAGCTTGGGAGAGGGAAAAGTATCTCCTTTGAATAATATCGGAGGGTTGCAACCTCTTTGTGTAATGTGACCAAAGTCTCTATCATCATATTAATTGGAATATGCCCTCTTTGGTGCTGAGCCCATACGCACATGAATGTCTCGGTATAAATATGTATTGATTGATTTGCAAAGGGTAAGGTGTGTCTGGCATAATTGTATCGTTAAACTATTATTTCAGTGTTTGGATTTTCCTCATCCATTATTGGATGCCATCAGCTGGTACTGAATTGCAGAAAATTGGAACTTTTAGGTTGTTCTCACTAGTACAGGTCCATCAGAAATATGCATCAATGGCATGTCATTTTCTCAGAGAGCATCAAAGTGGGCAAATGCTGCACTTGTGGTGACTGTCACAGCAAAGGACTTTGAAGCTTTAAATTATGATGGTCCTCTTGCTGGGGTCAAATTTCAGGTAGGTCTGAATTCTTATTTTCCTAGTTGTATTATTGTTAGGGTGTACAAGGTATCAAATGAGACCTGAATAAGGACAACTGCTAGTCGGTTAGTCCATTAGTTCAGTTAGCTTAGTTTAGTTGGGGGAAATCAAATTAGACAGGATCATTCAGTGAATCTGGCAGTTTTTGTGAAAGGATAGGTGAAGGAGAAACCCTCAAAGGATAGTTCCTTCTAATCTCAAATCACTCTTTCAATAATACTGGTGATTTCGTTGTTTGTTTCTCTCAATTTCTGTTTTCTCCGGGATTTGTAGCAGTTCTTACGATTTTTAGTATTTAAAGTACGTGTCCTTCTGTCCTTTGTTGAAATTATGGGGATTTTCAGGTAGGGATGAAATACATAATTTATAAATATTATTGGCATTGGTTATAAAATAAAAGGGATATTTGGTGTCTTTGATAATAAATATAGAAAATAGGGAAAGAATCAATTACATTGAACATTTAACAGCCATAGTTATATAACAACATCATTCATTTATTTTCTTCATCTTTATCATTATCAAAAGCAATGTGTGAAGTTAAACTTGAGATCTTCATTGTTCAGTTTTTTAATTAATAAATCTGTCTTTCATTCCATACAACCTTATTTCAATCCTTAATTATTAAATATAGAATATATAAATATATTTCCTGTTTCTCTGTCCTTTTAAGTGTAAGTGATATGGACCAATATATTGCATCGGATGCAAAATGTTCAACTAGTTGGTCAGTGTTCTTGATGTTATAAATGACTGTATCTGTTTTATCTAATACTTCTATTATGTAGAGAGAGTTTGAACAAAGAGCTGCTATGATGGGAGGAGGAAATTTTATAGTGCCTGTCCAGACAGTCAAAGACTTTCTTGAGAACAAGTTGTCAGGTAACATTATTGACCAGTATCCTTGATTAATTACACCCAGGTTCTCTCAGCTTGTAGACGAACTTAACTGGATAGTTTGTGCCAGTAACATCTGTACCCCCATCAAGTTATCGGTTGGGTGTGAAGGCAGCAAACCTCCATCAGCTATTTCCCATTCATATAACTGAAGCTTTGAAACATTCACTTGTAACATTTGACAAGGAGGTTTGCAGTTTCTCATGTCCTTTCTATAGTCTTTCATAAATTTACCCAGCAAAATCAAAACTCCAATTTATTAATTCAAACTTCTTAACTTCAGTTACCAGGATTTATCTGCAATGAGGCTCTCCTTCATGGCGTAGAGGTAATAAGAAAATGCTCTATTCTTTTAGTTTGGTCTGGATATCAATATGTCCCATTGTATTTATGGATTTACCAAGATGCTGCCTAATGGTTCAGTCTGTTGTTTAAAACTTCCGCACAAAGCAAGTGATTCTTTTGATTTTGCTTCGCAACTGCTATTTGTTTGTACTGAACAATTTTTTTGGTTCTAGACTAGGACTAGTTCCCCAATCCAAATTCCACGCAATATTGACTCTTATGAGAGCACTTCAGTAAAAGGACTGTATCCAGTTGGTGAAGGAGCAGGCTATGCTGGTGGGATCATTAGTGCAGCAGTAGATGGAATGCATGCTGGTTTTGCTGTGGCAAAACAGTTCAGCTTATTTCATGGAGATGTTGAGTCTGTTCTGGGCAAGGCTCCAAATGTCGGGGTTGTCAAGTACTAGGAAGATCTATTATCGACTCTTAAACAAGTGATATTCTACAGTTTTGGCATATAGATCAGCTATAGACAGTGGTAAAGATTCCATACCAGGTTACACTACTAAATATTCAAGGTAATTCGTTACATCTGCTTTTATTCTTTGTCTCCAAACAGAGTTGTCAGCTTCAGCTTTTCGTGGAAGAACATTGATGATAATTGATATCCCTCTTTGAACTGAGATAGGAATGACCAATTTCAAGATTCATTCAGGTTGTGCTGTTGTTGACATAAATTGAATTGCATACCGGATACTTGCTTGCTGCTAAGAAGTTGAAAGTTATAGCAAGGACCTGTGATTTGTGATCATTTCACCCGGCGGCTGCAATTTTGGGAGATTTCAAATTTTACTTAAAACATTTGTGTAGCTACCTATAATATCTAGAAACACAGAATGGTATTTATTAAGGCAATTGGAGACTATAGCACCATTAATTCCAGACGTATGGTCAAGGTCTTAATAAAATGTTATTGTGCACAATTTTTTATTCAAAACGAAAAAAAAAAAAATCTATCGTAGTACTGGTATGCATCAATGTTTTAACAACCAAATTGACCGATTCAAAAATAGCCCCTGAACAGTTTGTATTTTTGGTCCAATATTTTATCATGTTATAAAAAAATAAACACACATACTGAATGCATTTTATGCGTATACACTCACGAAAAATAAACACATACACTCGTACTTGTTCTTATGTCATGGCAGCAAAAGAATCAATTATTAATATATTGAAAGTGGCAAAATCATAAAGACAAATTTATAAGCTAGTTTTAATTTCTTAAAGAAGACAACATAAACCAATATTCAATGTTGAATATTTGCACTACCCCTGATCTTTCCACGAACATGGTTGATATAGTTCTCAGCGTTGATGTCAACATCGTCTAATGGTCGACTTACATAGGTTGGTGGGTCCTCCTTTGGTGGTTTCATGAGGTAGGAACGTCGCTTTTTTGTCCTCTCCATCTCTTGTGCTCTTTCACTCCTGCAAAATTTTGATATAGAAGATTCGTTGCATTCGGCCACCACATGTGTTCCTTCCTTTTGTGGCGGTGCAAGGTCTTTTGTGAAACACTGGCCAGAAAATCTTATAGACGACAATCTTATGATGTTTGCCACCAACAACAGTGATGTCTCACAAATTGATCTCTTGTTGTAGTCCTTGTTGGTCATTGTAAAGAGGGTATGAAAGCTTGAGGCATGAACAATAGGAGGCGAAGACAAGCTTAAATGGTTGTTTTGTTCTAAGAAAAAGTGGAATTAAATAAACCGTGAACACGTACCACATTCACTTTAAAGAAAGTTTCACAACAATGATTTGGAAAGTGACAAATCACGTAACTATATGTACCACGTATCTACATGTTGTTCACGGTAAATGATAAGTATTAATTGTTAAGTATGATACAATCATTAAAATACATGCCTCGTCAAAAAGTATATTCAAAGAAATAAGGAAATTGTTCTTGAATTGGCTTCTAATGCATGTTTCTTTTATCACATTATATCACTCATCAAGATATCACTTCTCTCTCCTATTTTTTCCTCTTTTAAATGAAAAAAAAAAACACTGTAAAAAAAATAAAATAAAATTATGAATTATAACTTTTTTTGAGGAATTATACATGTGGCTTTGAATCTATATAACAAGCATGTGGCTTAAGCTATTTGGTGGATCCTAATTGAACACACCACACGTATGTTTAGAAGGGTTTGTCTTTGCAATCATAAAAAGACAATTTACCTCTGTTGAGTATTTAAGAATCAAGGCATCAATTAATCACTTAGGACAAATTGCACATGATGAAGTGTCATTTAGTGTTCAATTTGCTTAAAATTTGAGTGGTGAGAGCAGAGTTTGATCTCTTTGTGAAGAAGATATCATCTTTGGGAGAGTGAAAGAAAGCAACTATAAGCATTGATTCTTTTAGCCTTAACTTCGGGAATGTCGTTGTTTTCGCCTCTAAGATTCTAATATCTATCTACATATCAATTTCATTTTCTTTGTTTTTCCCACAACTTCTTTCTATCAACTTCATCATATCAATCAAAGCAGCCCTTGTAAGACCAATGTCTTTGTCAGTATCAATACTCTGGATCTTGCGTGGTGATTTCAAATTGTTCTCGATGTTCGTAGAAAAATTGTAGATTTAGTCACCTTCCATTTCTCTCTTCTTCTTTTTTCCATCATATCAGTGTGTGTTTATTTTCAAGTTTATGAGTGGAGTTGAACGTGATTGTAGAAAATGATTGGATTTACGTCTAAAGGTCGTTTTAGCTTAGAAAAAAAATTACTCCATTTAACTTAATATTGGGATGGATATTTTAACCTAACTTTGCTTGTCATTGTTGATGGTCTGTGGGATATTGCGATGGATGATAAACTAAAGCATCTTGGGTTGTTCAACCGCTTGACACTAAGTATTTTTTGGGTTCACAGCATCAAATGTTGCTTTAATAATGTTAATCCCGTTTTGTTTTTGTCCTAAGCAGCAGCCATTATTTTGACCAAATCAGCGCATAACGAATTTAGGATTCGTGACTGCCAAGAAGGAAATGATGTTTTCAGTCAGGATTGAGGATGAATAAGGGAGCTAAATTAAGGATCAGTTTGATCTTGGTAGATTGCGCTTCCCTGATATCTAACAATTAACTACATCACAAGATGAAAAAATTGCCCTTGAAACAAAGGACACAATGAAAAATCCTTTATCAAACGAGAAGATACGATGAAAAGAATCCTTGAAATATAATAAAATCATGTATGGATTAGAAATATAATTATATTATATAAATAGTATAATTCATAATATAATAATATTATAATATTCAGAAAAATATAATTCATATCTTCTCAAATTGATTTAGATATTTTTATAAAAAATTCCTTCCCTGGAAAGTTTAAGAAATAGGAGTGGAGGTAACTAAACTCCTCTGGCTTTGATTTCAACGAAAGTATTACCAAAATTAATACACAAAGTGTCTGGTTAAAACGAACTTTTATTAAAGCAATTAAAAAAAAAAAGTCAACGATAAATTATAAGTCCAACAAATTATATTTTCTACTAAAATCTATAAAGTTTAATGAAAAATCATTGGTAAAATTAATTATATATGTAATTTTTTTATAATTCGTAAATTCTGTTTCTTCCTGCAGCCTAGAACGTGCCTTACTAAATTGTTTTATTGTCGTAAACCCTAGTTTGGGAACTTCAAAATATTCCATAGTAAAATTTCAATTTTTGTATTGTAAATAATAATAATCTCTTGCATATTCTTCCTTTTACCTTTTTTTTTTCCTCACTTTGTTATATTTTTCTATTGGTCTTTCCCCATCCTGCACTACCACCCACTCATTCTTGTTTTTCTTTTGGCCATTCCCTCTCCTGCTAGCTCTTCCTCCAATACTACACTTCCTTCCTACACTCCCATAAATATAAAGACAATATTAGCCAAAATAAATGATTTTATCTTATAAAAGTTATAAAAAAAACAGATTCCTTCTTTCACGTTCATGTCATAACGAGGTACTACGAAAGAAAAAACCACAAAATCCGATCCAATTTATCGTAATCAATTAGTTAATATGTTGGTTAATCATATTCTGAAACATAGAAAAAAATCATTGGCCTATCAAATTATCTATCGAGCTATGAAAAAGATTCAACAAAAGACAGAAACAAATCCACTATCTATTTTACGTCAAGCAATACTTGGAGTAACTCCCGATATAGCAGTAAAAGCAAGACGCGTAGGCGGATCAACTCATCAAGTTCCCGTTGAAATAGAATCTGCACAAGGAAAAACACTTGCCATTCATTGGTTATCGGGGGCATCCTAAAAACGTCCAGGTCGAAATATGACTTTCAAATTAAGTTCCGAATTAATGGATGCTGCCAAAGGTAGTGGCGATGCCATACGCAAAAACGAAAAGACTTATAGAATGACAGAAACAAATAGAGCTTTTGTACATTTTCGTTAATCCATTAACAAGATCTATATAGACACGTCAACCCATGAATCCATACATCTTGATCGAAAAAGAATCGAAATTGATGAATAGACAAAACATAACAAATGAAAAGGAAACGAAAAACAAATCATAAATCATGGATCAATTCAGCCCTCTCGAGGACTTGCTTAAGAATTGTTGCAGGTTGCATAATTATCCCGTGGCGGAGGCCAAGTGGGTCAAGTCACAATCCAGGTGGAATTCTTCGTAAGACAATTGTTGAGAGGGAAATTGTTGCAGGTAACATCAATTGTCTCGTGACGAAGATTGGATGGGCTGAGTCACAATCGAATCATAACGTTTGGGTTTTGTTACTCTAAGTAAAAAGAGTTGTGCTCTGACTAATGACTATAGCTTTTGTTCTAGTGGTAAGCACTCGATCCTAACAATTCGTACCAGAGCCAAGGTCACGAGTTCAATTCCTGATGGACAATTATTAAGGAAGAGATTGTTGCAGGTAGCATGAATTGTCCCGTGAAAAAGGTTGGGTGGGTTGAGTCACAATCAAATTGTGACGCTTAAGCTTTGTTACTCATAAATAAAAAGAGTTGCACTTTGATTACTGACTATAGTTTTTGTCCTAGTGGTGAGAAATCTTATGTAAATACCACATAATAAGTTTTGATCTTATTCATAAAGATTTTATAACTATTCCATTCCAAAAAAATAAAAAATAAAAATATTCTTGAAATTTTTTAAAAATGACATGTATAAAATGAAAACTTCATTCTCGATTCTACAAGAATTTTTATGAAAACATTTCATTGCTTCTCTTAGATGGAAGTTTTATTTTCCTATAATATATTCTAAATTTTGGCCTAATTCTTCTTATGATTATTGATTCAACTTCTATAAATTTTGTAGAATTATTAATCCAAAAATGTATTCTGCAGTGTTCATGAATCCAGATCCAAAAATATATAACATTTTTTTTTTAAGTTTATGATTAAATAATCGAGAACATAATCTCACGGTTATGAATTAATGAATCTAAAAAGTTTTCGGATATAAGGATTCGAACCTATATTTTAAGTTTGATTTCTTATCACTGCCCATTCCATCACATGTTTCCCACCTCCCTCTTGCATGATCATGACCCGAGCACACCAACGCCACCACGAGTGGTGGAAGCAGGCTCTTAATTCCATGTGTCCATGCATAAAATTGTTGGCAAAACATGAGGCTCGTCAAGAGCGTGGTGGACACCATTTGTCGCAGTGCCATCCTTTTCAAATTGTGGATTTACAGCCCAGATGTTAATATTGACAACTTTTTATAATTTCTCATAATACCTAGCTAGAAACGGCATAGTCAACTAACTATGCTTCATGACTTCTTTATCCTTGATTTCTCAATGTTACTATTTCGTCCTTTTTGAAACTCTTTGAGATATCATATAGAAACATATTTCCTAGAATCCTGGCTTAGGAATGAAAAATAATCTACTTGGATAAATTCAAGATTCATCAATCCACATATTTAAAAGAACTGCATGATTTTGGATGTACCAATTCAGAACTTATATGTTTCATATCTATCAGCCTAGAAGTTTTAAAAAAATTATATAGTCTAAATCTACCAATTCAGAATTCGAAATTTTTCTGGATGCATCAATCCAGAATTTTTCTGAATCCATCAATTCGAAAATTTTCCAGATCGGCCAACACGAGGATAAAATGGTCCTTTTGAAAGTTATGGGGTGCAAAGAAAGAGTCCATTCATAGACTTGCGCAGCTACTGCCAACAGCCTTCATGCACAAAAATAAAAATTGGCAGACATGCAACATAAACTTCATGGACGGTGAATGGTGCAATGGTAGAGGGAAAGACAAAGGTGTTGTACTGAGTTTGTTTCAAAACCAAAGCTCACGAGGAACATACTGGAGTTGAGCCGCATCATAGACCACCAGAAAGGGGTGACGGAGAGGTGATAAGGGTCAATAAAAAAAGAAGGTATTAAGTGTAAACAAGGAGGTGTACTTCAAATCAATAACTGCACTCATACAATCCGAAGAATTTAGCATGTTAACCCACGATTTCGCGAGTCATAAATTTCATAAAACTGTTGCCTCAGTTCAACATAAAATAAAATCAACGAAGAAATTATCAACAGCAAAACCTGAGGGTATTGGTTCAAATAAAAAAATTAGGCTACCATTATATAATTTAATCACGAAAATTAACATCTGCACTTTCATTAGGCATCATCAAAAGTCTCAAATGGACAACAATGTCAGGATTCAAAAATCTGCTCTCTAACTTGAGATTTAATTTAACGAAAAGAAAAAGGGATTACAGAACAAGATATACCATGTTATGCCGCTTCCTCCTCCCAAAAATATACAACTCCAATTGGTAGCTTGTGTCAGTTCTATTGGTTTCTTGTACAAATACGGCGGCGGCAGCAGCAGGTAAACTCCGAGAGAAAGAATTATGTTGATGAGCACCCTCCACTTAAACATTAAAATTCCTCTTTCCTGAAAGACACATCTACAGTAATAGCAGAAAACAGTAACTACAAACAGGTAGATAAATGAAGTTACAAAAAATAATCTGGAGTCTTGCGTGTGGTGTCAGGCTCAATTTGCCTGGGAGCTGGATCAAACTGAAGAAAACTCTGATCCATATTCTCTCCTATTTCTAGTATGGCAGCCATATTCCCACATCGGTAACAGTAATTTGGAGCACTAAATACGGTAACCACATTCTTGTCCTGAAACAGTCATCATCAACATAAAGACAACAGATAGTATCAAGAAGGCATTCCCAAAGTGGAAAAAATCCATTATATTGATTGAAAAACTTGTCAGTCACCTGGCACCAATTGTATCCCTCCATAACAAGCTGATGAGCTCTAGATATCAGGGAGAGACCATTGGTATGGTTAAACTGAGCAGCAATATCCTGTCCAAATGTGTATCCTGCCCCACGGGGAGATATTCCCCATCCACAACGATCATCAGGGTCAGACCACAATAGATCACACATTGGTCCTTCATGTGGAACCTGTAACATACAAGTACAGTTGTTATTGTTAGGCAGAGCAGGTGACATAATCAAGAAATATCTGGCCAATAATAAAGTTAAGAAATGACATTCCATTGTGGAGTATAAGATGAGATATCCTAAAGCTGTATGTGCCTGACTATGCCTGATTAGCAGCTAAAGCTAAGCTACTGAAAACATACCAAAAATCTACCATTAAAAAATTAAAGAGAGCTAAAAGATAAACATTTATATTCATTCATTGATTTATATAACTGGATAGTTTGGGAAAGTTCACTCTTCAAAAAACCTGAGGGTGTGTGATGCCAAGATGGTGAATGTGTGGAGCATGTCTTGTGGCTGTTGATGTATGCGACATTGGTTTTGGGCATGGGAGGTGCTGAAAGGAGGGAGATGGAGAGCTTTGCCACTGAATCGTCGGTGGAAAAGGGATGGTTTTGGAAGTAGACTCAAGGAGGTAATGTGGTGTTGTGGGATAAAGGGACAACTGACAACCTGTTGAGTGACCATTAATGGCAGAGGTGAGGGTGGCATGACAAGCATCAATGGACTGTAAGAGGGTAGTGTGGTGAGATTTTTGTTGTTCTTCATAGTGGGTGATTTGGGCCTGGAAGACAACTAGTTTCTGGAAAATAGCTTGGAGGCTGTCTTCCATGGTGGTGGCAGCTGTGGGAGGAGAGCTCATGAAAACACCATTTGATAGAAACCTAAAGCTACGCTACTGTAAAACTAAGAAAAACCACCATCCTAGAACTATTGAGAGCTAAAAGATAAACATTGATATTCTGGATTGATGATAATCTATGATGCACAGATATTATGAGTATCAGATACGTCATATCGGATACGATACATATCCAATATGGCAATTCGTCTTATATTAAAAAATATAAGATACGATATGTTTAAGATACGTGTGTGTGTGTGTATATATATATATATAATTCATAAAAAAATTATAAATAATTATTAAATATTATTTAAATTGAACACATTAAATATATTTTTAAATGTATATATGAATAACTACTTATTGTTTAGAAATAGAAATAGTATCAATTTCATCTCCTCCTTGAGGATCATCAGTAAATAAAACAACTTCCATGTCTGGTTCATCAAGAGATAATGTTGTCACTCTAAGGTTTCCAACATCATCAAAGTCATCCCATGCATCTCCACTAATGTCCCACATTTTAGAGTTCCCTTGGTTATATTCTTCACTTTGCCTAGCCAAAAGTCGTAAATTAGTGTGCACATAAACCAAGTCTTCTGCTCTTTTAGGATTCAGCTTATTTCTTTTCAATGAGTGAAACTATAAGCTCTCAAAAAAATAAAATGTTAGGGAAAAGAGAGACGTATTTAAATAATTAAAATTTGTTTTGATAAATATTTAAATAATTTAAATGTTTTGATTAATTTAATAATAACAACAGAAAAATTGTTTTTTTTTTTCGATTCTTTTTCGATACGAATTTTTAAGTATCGGAGTGAATCAATATTGAATACGTATCTACATTGGCCTTTCCAACGTATCCGTGCATCATAGATGATAATAGATTAGAAGGAAAACACTTATATAACCTAAGAGACACCAGCAACTAAATGGTGATAATCCTACTAGTTTCATCGTGTCATTTAAGGGAATTAAAATATAAACTAAATAATATTGTAAATGTTACTTTAACATTCTAAGGTCATCCTATGAAATCCTACCCTCATTTAACTTTCCTTCTTTTGGGCCTCTTTTGGCCCATCCAATCAATGCCAATAGGCAATAACATCATAAATCATATTGGATTAAACTGAAGAGGAAGCTCATGATTGTAGGTCCTAGATGAAATAATCTCCAGATAAAAGATATAATGGCAACTTCAAGTAAAATATTTCTCAAACCATATTAAACACATCAGACGTATATCAAGCTCAAGATACCATTTTCCAAATAAATGTTCTTCATATTAAATGGATCATAAGGAAAATCAGTGCATTCATGCTAGCAATTACATACAAACCTCTTGTATACGATCCAATGCTCTGATGTTATCCAGAGTATCCAAAGAAGGCGAGAGACCTCCATGCAAGCAGAAAACCTGCGGTATAAGTTAGAGGCTGGCATAAAAATTAGTCAAATAAGTATTCTGCAACATGTTTGACTCGAACCTGACTCTCAATGAGGGCAGTCAGAGGTAAATAATCAAACAAGTCTGTAAAGTATTTCCAGACATTGGCATTTCCATATTTTCTCAAGCATTCATCATAGAAGCCATACCTGAAAGCAAAGGATAATTAAATGACAAAACAATATATTTTTTTATTTAAAAAAAAACTATTGTTTAGTAGAGTTAACCACATAGGCACAAAGCAATATTGCTACTCCTTCAGTGAAAAGGACCATAAAGGTCTATAACAGCGCCAGTCATTTAATAGATAGCTAAAGCAACAAATATATTATTTTATTATTATAATATTTTATGTCTTAAACCTAAATTTTTTAGTCGGAATAATAATGTGAAAGAAAATCTATAAAGAGAAAAAGAAAATATACATGGCCTAAAGCCGATACAAACTGCACAGATGGTGCACCAACAAGTGAGCTCCATAGGTTAAAGAAGCCAATAACTAGAGGTATTGAGGTTGCATGCAACTGCCACAACTTATTCTCAAAATTTCAAGCTGAATACATAGTTACCAATCCAAGATAGTGATGTGGACTGGTTGAATTCACAACTGCTATAGCAGATAGTGGCACCACTAATGTGACATTTTATACAAAGGTTATGTGTGTGTGCTTCAATATTTTAAAAAATGTCATCTAAATTAAGACATTCATTGGTAGAAATGAAATGTAACAAGGTCAGAGAACAGACCAAAAAATTCAAAGGAAAGAGAAAAAGAGAATAATTAGAGAGTGAAAACAGGATATCGGGCAAAATGACAGCAGAGATCAGGGACAGACAGCAAATAGGGGTATGTAACAACCAGTAGATAGACAATGTCACTGCTGGAGAACGGTAGATGTTCCAAAGGGAGAATGCATTGCATGTAAGTAAGAGAAATTAGGGGTTACATTTGAAACCCCTCATTCAATGAAAGAGAGGGGCAATCAAGGTTATCAATGACGGATGGCAGAAAACCAAAATTCCACCACATAAACATGACGTTGCAGCCTCTGGTGATACCATAGTTGGCCTCCTTTCACAAATTTCCTATTGTGGACGGGGTAAAAAAATGTCACGATTTGCAGCACTATAACGTTTATTTAACAACAATGGAAGCAATATTGCAAATTGCGTCCAATAATATTACGAACAATACATCCCTAGATGACAAAGAGGCACTATAACATGGATAAATTAGGGTTTTTGCATCTATTTTTCCAAAAAAGACAGCAATTTCAATGCTACAGTAGCTGCAATGGCTGCTAATCAAATCTGCAACAATATTTGAGTTCCTTGGCACTGAGCTGATTGCAGTGTGATGCAACTATAGTGTGTTATGATACTTGTGGCAGAACTTAATATATATAAAAATGGCAATGGACAGAAATGGTTCATACACTTGAGTAATTTGACGACTTTCATGATTTCCCCTGAGAATTGTGATTCTATCTCTGTAACGGACTTTCAAAGCCACCAAAAGAGAAACAGTCTCCACTGAATAGTATCCACGATCTGCAAGAATTAATAAATATATAAATATGTAATTGCAATTCAAAAGGTCCAAACTATGAACATGATTCTTAACCATTACTAAAAATAAAATATAACTATAAACCATTATCAACAGAAATCATTGCCTATTTCCTACAATGAGGAATAGCTTCAATGTCACCCCCCATCGACTATCATCTGTAAAGATGTGAAATATGCAATTTTCCTCTACACGCTTTGCTAGTTCATTGTGTTGGGCAGAGATTAGAAGATCAAAGCAATCATGCACGAGAAAACTGAAAATTATTTGCTAAGATATGTGGGGAAAATCATATACGCATTGTACAATTATTTAAAAAAAAAAAAAAGCTCTCCAGGATTCTTTACAGACACATAGTGGATATCAAATAACTTCACCCCTACAATGGCAATACAAGCACACTTCCATAACACTACCTAATACCCACTATTTCAATTTCAAGGCAGCACAAAGCAAAATAACCTCACCAGGATGGCGGGAGCAAATTTCACTAAATAGCATCAAACAACTTTCGGACACCTTAAAAGGGTTGAAGTTCATACCATTAGATTTAAGCATAGCTATTACAGACACAACATGGAACACAAATATGGAAACAAACTAGTCCATTTAATTCACGCAGACCATAATTAACAGTTAGAAAAAATCACCCGTTCAAAAAAAAAAAAAAATCAGAAACCGTGCTTTCGACCTGGCAATAATTTCATTCAATATTTATGAAACCAGATTACACATTGAGTCCCACAAAGCCCTCTCCTCAGCTAAAAAAAAAAAAAAACTCAGAAACCTAATACACAAAAAAGGAAGGAGGGTTGAATTGAAGAAGAGTGACTGACCTACATAATCACCCATGAAGAGATAATTGGTATCGGGTGCGCTCCCTCCAATCCGAAACAACTCAATGAGATCGTAGAACTGGCCGTGAATATCGCCGCAGACGGTGACGGGGCACTTCACCGGTTGCACGTTCCACTCCTCCACCAGAACCGCCCTCGCTTGATCGCACAGGGTCTTCACCTCCGACTCCGACAGAGGCTTGCACTCCATCAGCTGTTCGATCTGACGCTCCAGATCCGCGTGAGACGGCATCCTTTCGTTCCCTCCTCCGAGATCACCCCTTCTTGTTGTTCTTCCTCTCTCAGATCGATTCGCTCTTCCCGAGACGGTGAAATCGATCGGTTTCTTCGGGTTCGGGAGTTAGCGCGAGCGGAATCGACGGTTACCGGAGGAATGCCGTGAATAGGGTTAGGGTTTGGAGAGTGGAACGCTGGAAGCTGGCGTGGTTGGATTTGGTCTCTCAATTTCGCGGTTGCGCCTTTTCTCTTTCTCTTCTTCTCCTCGGCTTTGAGTTTCTCAGTGAGACACAGACAAAAACAAAAAAACAAAACAAAATATTGTTTCTTAAATCATAACAACCTATAATTTAATTGTTAATTTATATTTTGTGTGATTGAGAAAGGAGAGAAGAAGTGGGTGGGGAGGCTTGCCAGCCAGAGAACTAAATAGAAAAATGAAAATGAAATTCAAATAAAGAATAAATAAATAAATAATTTAATTTTCCTAAGGCTAAATTATTATTAATAGGGTAAATTATACTTCACTATTCTAATGCATGTAAGAGAAAAAATAATCTTTAATTACAAGGAAAACAATTTTTTTTTTATCATGAACTCCACTATTCATCTTTTTTTTTTTCATACTACAAAACTTTTTTTCCATTCACAAAATCCTTTCAGTGTAATTCAATAATCCACCTATAAATAAATAAATAAACAAATTTTCTAAATTCCTCTTATCAATCAACTATAACACACCAATATAAAACCACCACCCACAAATAAATATACACAAAAAATATTCGATAAAAAAAATAAAAAATCGATGGATTTCACTATCATGATAAACTCTCCCCAAAACAGATTTATAATTATGGATATATGCTTTGATTATACATTCATTAACTAATTAATGTAATTATATGTTTTCAAAAAATATATTAGATATAAACTACAATAATAAATAACCTATTTTTATCATTTTGGACATTTCCAAACTTTTTGGTGTAATAAATTATATGTAATTAAGGTTCGTTTCGTGCCTTAATTATATGTAAAAAATAAAAGAGCTGATAATATAAAATTATATTGATTAATTAATTTTATTACGTAATTAAAAAACAATATAGTTATCTTTATTACACAGTGGCTACAGATTTGTTTTACTTTGAGCTTTGTAGTAACTATTAAGATGTCTGTGCTAAATTATTATTTTGTGTTAAGTTTTATGAGTTAGCCATGATAAAAAAAAATCATAATATTGATAAAAATATTTTCTTATTCTGATTTTATTAATGATTAATTTTTATTTGTAAATAAGTCATTTTTTTAATATATTTTTATGAATTTAAATTTTTTTATAAGCGTAGAAAAAAATAGTTATTGAGTGAATAAATTTACTAAAATTATATTTATTGTTTACCTTTTATCGTATAATTAACTTCTTCACATCAGTAAAATAAATAAAAACCATCAAATTAAATAATTATTTATAATAATAAATTAATACTTTATTAAAACTTAAAATGTAAATTAATATAATTTTTACTATTAAACATGTCACTTGTTAAACTTAGTACCAAAATAAAAGAGAAAATATTATTATATAAAAAAAATGTTTTCAATGAAAAATATTACCTAATTAACATTTATTTTGTTGGGTTAAATTTGACCAAATTCGTGATTCAATTCAATAAAATATGATTAGATTGATCTTTTACATTTTTTTTAAGACGCAATCCAGCCCAACTCCACGTGGGTCAATTATTAATTTAAAAATATTTATTTTATATTTTTTTAAAAACAATTATGCTATTTAATATTAGATAATTTAATATTTAAAATATATTTAATTAATATAATAATGGAAGAAATTAAATAATAATTATATTATTATTATTTAATAATTTTATTATGACTTAAATCCTAATATATAAAAGGTGAAATCGGATTGTATTGAATTGAATTTTCTTATAATTATAGACAAAATTCAAATTAAATTTACTTTAATTTTCCAAGTTAGTAAACACCCCTCTAACACAATATAACATGTTGAAAATTTAAAAGAAATATTGTATATTAAAAATTATTTATTTATTACAAAATTTATCTTTCGCATAATTTATATAGGTAAGAGTTTTATTCATTATAAATTATAATTATAAAAAATAAATAAATACTTTAAGTATTTATATATTTAGTAGATAAATATTAATATATTTGCTGTCGCGTACTTTTAATAAATATCTAAATTTTAAACTAATTTTAAATTAAAATAACTCTAAACAAATTTTCTCCTTGATATAAAATTTATATTACACAGTATTTTGTTTATGTAATGTACAAGATAAGTTCTTATTGCATATATTTAAAGTATATAATAAATAAATATTTATAAACATATAATTTATATTGTAATATAAGATTATTTTTAATAAATAAAATAAGATAAGTTTTTAGTCATTTAAAATAATAATAGATGAAAAAGAAAAGTTAATTTTAGGGATTTAAATAAAACTCTAATTTTTTTTTCAAAGACCTATTTATTTATGTTTTATTTCAGAATCTGTTTTGACATTATAATACAGTTTTGAAGGAACTAAACAAATCAAAACGAAGTTAATTTAAAATTTAATTAACATCTAAACAACCATCTTTTCTAATAAAAATTACTTTAATTAAAAAGTAAATACGAGGTATTGCATGAATTTTAAGGATTTTTTTAGCAAAATGAATTAAAAACACTAGAATTAAACCTATGGGTGAATTTTAAAAAATTATGTAAAGAGGACAAATCATATATAATTTTTGCTATATAATCAAACTCGTGTTATATAACACTATTTGAAATATTCTTTTATATTAAATTATTTTTTAAGATAAATATATTATTTAAAATATTAATAATTTATTTATTTTTATTATATATTTATATTATAAAATATTATATTAATTATTTATTTTATTTATATTAATTATTATTTTATATAAATTTTGTATGAGTAACAGAAATATATTAATAAATTAAAAAAATTAATTATACACAAAATTATTTATTTTAAACAAAAAAAGATATTAATAAATTTATTTTTAAATTTAAATTATGTTATAAATTTATTTTAAAATATATATATATATATATATATATATTAATAAAAGTAGAAAAAATTAATTAAAAAATTAATTTTATATTAATAAAATAAAAATAAAACATCAAATATAAAAATAATTAATTTCTTTCTAATATATTAAAATATAAAATTATTTTAAAGTTAATATTAAATATGTTTTTTCACTTTCTCATTCAAATAATATTTTAACTAATTTTATATTATTAATATAATTAACAAAATTGTTATTTATATAATACAAAATATACATATAAATAATAACAACTTTATATATATATATATATATATATATATATATATATATATAATACAGTATTATATAACAAAATTTAAACTTAAAAATACATATAATTTAATTTCATAATAACATTATTATTTATATTTATATATATAGTACTTTTATTATGTATATATTATTTATATAAAATTTATATAAATAGTAATTAATATAAATAAAATTAATAATTGATATAATATTTTATAACTTAATATATATATAACAAAAAATAAATAAATTATTAATTTTTTGAATAATATATTGATTTAAAAATAATTTAGTTATTAAAAAAAAACAAAAGTTTGACTCTACATAGCATAATTTTAATTATAAAAAAATTACATTAAATTTATTATACATAACTCGATTTTACTGGTTGTTATACTTAAAAAAGATTTCATTATCTTGCTCCATAACACAATTTACTTAAAAATGGACCTGTAAAATTCTAATGCAGTTTAGTGAGAAAGTCAATTCTAAGATTACTCCACTCACACACACTAATATAAAAAGAGGCTTTTATGTGAGGTATTTAGGGCTTTTTACGTCATATTTAAGACTGACGTTAAAACGGGAGACGTAAATTTACGTCGGACCCTTTAGCCCGACGTAAATTTACCTCAGTTATCAAGACCCGACGTAATTTTGCGTTGTATATACCATTAAACAGACGTAAAAACTTTTAGAAATTAAAAAAAAAACAGCAAATTTACGTCGCATATGGTATAAATTTACGTCGTGTATTGGTATATGCGACGTAAATTTACGTCGCATATACCAATATGTGATGTAAATTTGCTGTTTTTTTTTTAAATTGGGTTGATTCTGTTTTACAACTAAAACCTGCAAATAACCAGACAGTCCAGAGATTCAATTTTCTTTAGCTAGTAAATTAAAAATATAATATTATATAATTCAAACTACATAATAAAACAATATAATACAAACATACAAACTAAAAAATCTATTACAAACTAAAAGTTAATACAAACTAAGCTACCTAAACTACATATTACACACAATATAATATGAACAAGAACTTAAAAAATTATGTACTAGAATTGTTGAACAAAAAATTTTGCCCATTGTTCTCTAATTTGTGTAATATCAGATTCTGGTAATGGAGATGAATCTTGAAATACCTGAAACATTAATTTGACTCTTGTAAACGTGCAACATGAATAAAGTTAAATAAACCTAACTAATGTTAAAAGCAATTACCTCCGTCCAAGAATCAATTATACCCGCACAAACTATGACTCTCATCCAATACATAACATAGTAACCACATTCAAACGAGTCTGTTTGCTTATTGCACTTGAAATGATGAAAAAAACATAATGTTATTTTCAAAATTTAAATACAAACAATAATTATGGTATTCACTTATATAAATAAGTTTCTAACCTTAGGATAAATGAACTGCAAAATCTTTGTTCTAGGTTTTCCACTTAGAACATTAGTTCCAGACACGATTCTAAGTGAAAAAAAGTCATATATTATTCAATATGTATTTACAATTTAAAAACATAATTAATGAACAAAAGATAAAGTTACCCTTGTAATAAGCTTTTCATTTCTTGACTCAGTTTTCGATGCAATGAACAAAACCACACGACGAGTGTA